CTCTAAACCAGAATTATCTCCATTTACCCTTTCTTTATGAAGAACTAAGTCTCTAGAGGTCCCTTCTAACCTTTCTCATTCTGTGAACTAGCTCAAGAATCATGGCCTCTGATGGAGCTTAATTGCTTATCACAGTGTAAGATCTAATGGAAATAGCCGAGAATAAAATAATGTTCAATGGATATCGGAAAGAAGAGCATTGCTTAATAACTTTTAAACACTTTGTCTGCTAAATCCCCTGTATATTCTCAATTATATCAACCAAATCCAGAGTTAACTGACAATTTACCAAGTGGTAAATTCTATCTGAATTAATCCAGAATAGTAAAGATTATTTTTCAACATTCTGTTCTAGCAATCATTTCTGTAGCCAGGTTTCAGGTGAGAAAATGTGGTACTAGTTTTCCTACTTTTGGCAATAAATATAACCCATATAACATTATACACTGAAAACATGGCAAAAAGAAAGTCTCCCTTCTTAATAAATGTGAGCTGATGTAAGGATTTCCTGTTCAAACGAGTATAATCATGTCTCAGTTTGGAATACTTTAGTATCACAAGTGATAACAACTGTATTTGGATGAATACAGTAATAAAGAGGTTAAATCTGATTGTAATTAGATTTCAGTATGCATGGTCATGTGGCTAATAGTAAATTTTCCTTGATTAACTGATCCTGTTTGTTAAGAGCTCCTATTAACATTAGCACACTCTATGGCGGCTGTGGAGACACACCATGGACCAGTGCAAGATTAATGAAGGCAGGTACGCATGCTGATTAGAATGTGGCAGTTTAATAAACTCTTCTAACATTAAATTATTTAATGCATTCATGCTCATGTAGGCTATTCAATGGTCAGCTTGACCACCTATGTGTTAATATTGGGAATTGAAATGCAGAGGATGGAAGAAATATAGCAGTGGATGAGGTAATTAGCTCTCATGTCTGATAAATGGGGCAATACCTATGTGTATACATGTTTTAGCACATCACAAATGGTGCTTTCATTAACTGGAATCTCTTGCTGAAAATTTTCTGAACGTTTAGTTTGATTTTGATCCCATAAACAATTCAGCTAACTACTATATCCAGAGTCTATTTAATATTTGAAGCAAATCTATAGCAAGCTATAGTGATAAAACACATTGTTAAAATACAACACAAAAATTATCACTGAAGCTTTGAAGTCATTTTGATGTTCTTCCAGTGCACTGCTTTGAAACAAAGATAATATTTAATAAACATTAGCTGAAAAGTTACATGCTGTGGGCTGACTCATGTTTTATCCTGTGTATTCCTCTCCCAAATGTCACTAACAAGTGGTTGTTACATTTGCAGGAAAGTTGCTGACAAAGATTTCAAGCCAAACAATTGCTAATTCCAAGCAGTACCAGCATCATCTAAGTGTGTATTTGGGTTACATTCCATCTTCTTATGGGGCAACACAAGTCCCATGCCATATACTGTATCAATTCACATTCAAAGCAACAGAACAAAAAGGCAAGGCTTTGATGTAAGGTGTGGGTCAGATAATGTGTTGCATTTAGCTGTCAATGACATCCAAAACACATCAGTAGGAGAGCTGAGGACTGGTCTGGTAGTCCCTCTGCCCAACCCCTTTTGCTGGCATTTAAATCTCTTTTCAGATCATTTAGTAAATCTAAATAAATGACAGAAATGGCTGATGGGCTTCAATTCAACACTATGTCCAGCTTTAAAATCCTTAACAAAAATATAACCTTGCTAAAGCACTTTGGTGAATGAGCACTTTACTTATTGACTGTGGTCTCCGTCCATTCATTTACAGTAAGCCACTCATTTCAAATAGCTTTTCTAACATTTTAAAGATTAAAATGTTATAAAATGAATAGCTGTAGTACTGATCAGCCACGTAAGTGCATATTACTAGAATTTAATTAGCCAAGCTATTACGTCATTCCCAATAGTAGAATGTGACAACATTGATGAAAAATCCCCATCACTCCAGGCCTAGGAATCTCTCCCGAACATAGGACTACTCAACAGGATTGGGGTGGAAACCGCACCTTTGCTGATAAATTTTGGGCTCTATCACTGCAAAAGATTTTTAAAAATCAGTGTGTTTAAGGTGTAGCTGAGACAGAGAGACATCCATAAAATGTGGGCAGCACTTTAAGGCAAAAAAGGTAGGACATTGTTAGCTGCATATGCTTCCTTAAGTCATCTGAAAGATTCACAGCATAGCTGTACAAGATGAAAGGAAGAAAAAATGCATACAAAAAAAATCCAAACCAAACCAAGAGAAAAAAAAGACAAAACTTCAGAAAATAAATTTATCTAAAAGAACGTTTTTGCTGAATCTTGCTTGAAAGCATGAGGGAGGCATGCAAGCAAAGAGCAGAATGCAAGCCTGAGTTTATGTAAGGTCAGAGGAGTCTAGAGAATGTCCTGGCCATGGTGCTACATGGAGTTTGGTAATAAGAACAGAGCAACTGTTTCTGGCTGGCTGATGTTTCTATGTGCAAGCACAACAGGATTTTATCAACTAGAAAGATTACTTCACAGAATTACCCATCTCAATTTCTTCCCTAATTGGAGCTATCAGATGATTCTAAATTTCTGTCTGTCTTCTTGGATCAACTAGAGTGACACCATTTTTCATCTGCAACGTCTTTAAAAAATTAGTGTACTAGTAAAATAAGAAAAAATTTGTCCCCTTATTCTAAGGGAACAGACTTCATTAGCTTCCTTCCCTCACCTTGTAATGCAATATTTAATTTAAAAATCTGCCTTTTCTGACTTGGATCTCAGGAGGTCATACTGGATTTCATCTGGTTTCACTGCATGTCCCAGGTTGTTCCTCTGGGCCGTGTCTGCTCCTTGAGACTGGTGCTCCGCTGCATGCCAAATTGTACTCACAGTGTGCCTAGAAAGGACTGCTAATCATCAGGTAGGGGCAAGAAGACTGGCAGTAAGAGAAGAGCATACAGATCCATTCCAAATCAAAGACAGGAAATAAATTATTTGAGGGGACAGGATCAAGGGAAAAAGCACCAATAAAAGCAAAGTAAAGTAGTATTGGAAGAGATGACGATAATGTGAAAGCAACGTAAGGAAAATGAGATGGAGTCAAAGTCATAAAAGGAGGATTCACATGCTTGCAAGCTTTGACTTAATCTCTAGCAGTAGCTCCTGAGCACTTGTTGGAATAGATATGACGTGGTAGAGAGGAATTCTAAGAGGGGAAAGATGCCATTTCAATTAAAGGGAATCTTCCCAAAAACTCCTTTCAGAGTCTCTGTGAACATTAAGCAAGATCTGTGGGTGCTGGTAGATCACAGAGCCCCATGTCTTTGAGGCCATGTGCCACATGATGCATGGGTGAGCATCCTGAAGTTTGATCACTTGACCTGTTTTGACAGATCTGGAGATAAGGATAGATGATTCTAATACATGGCAGGATTAAGAGGAGGCATTGTCAGCTGAACTGCCTACATCTCCCTAAGCAGCTTCCTTTAGCTTGTAAAGGCTTTGACAGTTGGCATTCTCAGATGCAGATTTCTAGAACAGAACTGCAAGGTGTGTGGTATTGTATTCTCTGACAAGCCTAGGATTCTGAATATCACAAAGACACAAGGACTGCATTGCATTAGGTAATTTTCTGAAGTTGCTGTACTTATTCCTGTGCTTGTCTAATCCTCTCTTCTCGCTCCTCTATAATCTCTCCAGGTCCCCCTCCAATGCCCTTCCAATTACAGTTCCATGCTGCCCATCATGTCGTCAGTTGGGAGATACTAGGTTTGGATTAGCACTAAATTCCCTTAAGTCTCTCAAAGTCTCTACCTGGGTATGAAGTAAGCCTGAAACTTTAATTATATCTGCCCAGCTGATACAAGTTTTTTCTTCCCAGCTAGACATTTGAGTTTCAGTAGACCAGACCAGTTAGCATATATCTTCTGAGCATGAACTAGCAACAAATTTGAAAGAAAAGTTCCCTGAACAAATCAACCAATACTGTATGGTATTTTTAGTCTTGAACTGTGGTGGTTTTCTAAGCAAATGGCACATTTTTCACAAGTTGCTGCTGCACAAACAGCTCTCAACATAAATTATTTTGAAGTCTGCTTATTTCAAATGATCAGTTAAATCAAGCAGATCATGCTTTCAGTGAAGTTGCCAAAATTCCTACATCTACATATCTATTGATTAGCTAAATCCTCCTGAGAAAGACACAGGGGCAGTGAGTGAGTTCAAGCTTTGCCTTCCTCCAGAGCATACTTATGGCCACTCCACAGGCACTGCTGAGAAACATAAGCCAATGAATATCATGTTCCATTTCCAGCATTTCCTCAGTTGTACTGTGCTCTACTTGCATTATTTCCATGAGCTGTTTTGAATCAACATAGATTTTGGAAAGATAAGACTCTCTTTTACTATTTCAGAAATAGAATCTCTTTAATTTTCTGTTCTAGTATCAAAAATAGTAAAAAGGTTTATTATGTGTCAGGAAGTCTTCACAGCCTAATCTGACTTAATTATCAATATAACTAAAATACTTTTAATAACAATAAAACAGCACAAATCAGTAAGGTCACATAAAAAAATCCAAAATATAACTGCATTGCAGTGCATTAACATAACTAAACCAGAGAAATATAGTCTAATACTTTTGTCTCTAATTTCCTTTAAAACACACTCAGAAATACCAGGATAGAAATGAAATATTGGCTTGTTTTGTTTGATGGTGCCTCTCATCTCTCTTTATGTGAAACTACCTGGGTCAGATGGATAGATAATTTGCCTACTAACAGCTCATGCCCTTGCCTTATTAATCTGTTTATCTTTAAGAATAGGTTTTTCAGGTCGAGACCCCAAGGGAAGCCACTTAAATAGAATACTCTTTGTTGGCATAAAAGTGGCCATGATGTGGCAGTCACCTTCTCCCTCCATTTATCCTGGAGGCAATACAAGGTTTGGTTAGGAAACGCCATCTGTGCAGCTACCTAAAAAGTGCTCTTACCCATTTCACCCCACAGCTGGTACCAGGCCAAGGATGAAGGCTCATGTGGATGTCTCTGGTCCAGGGATGGAGGATGAATCTTGGATTCAACCACATGGCCTCAAAGCTTGTGTCTGTAAAAGCATTTATTGATACAAAGTGAACATGTAAACTAAGAGCAGTTAGGAAAAAAAACAAAAACAATTTTATCTTGTTTATACCTTCCTGAGGGATGCACAGCAAAAAGAGCCCAGGCTTTCCACAACAGCATAGTCCAAAAAGTAATTTTTGCACCAGAAGACTTTGATACATCTTTTAGCGCACTTCATATGTTTAGATTTGTGAAGATATACAGTGCAATGTAAAGGTTTAGGCCAGACACTACCACCAGCAGTAATGGCTGTTCCACCTCTGAATTCCCAGATGTGATACAGAAAATTACCTCCAACTATCAAATTTAACTGATTTTACTTTTAATTTTTATCTCAATTTTTTCATAGGCTGCTTCAGACTTTTTAAAGCTATTTCAATATCCAGACATGCTGTAAGGACTCCTCACGGAATTAATTCAATTGGTAACCTGACTTTGAAGAATAGATAGATAGATAGATAGATAGATAAACTTATTATATAAAAAAACCACTAGCTTCAAGGAGCTGTGCTGTTGCAAACACAAGCAAAGTTAATGAATGTGGGAAAAAAGGTGGCTCGTGGCAGCAACTGAGGAAGGACTTAAAACTCATATAATCTTAATTCATTACCTTAAACTCAGGATTTGCAATATGAATTTACATTATACATTACTAATTTTTCCCCCAGGAAATAATCACTTCAGTCCACAACTGAGGTGATGGTGCTCAACAAAGGAACAGGGCAGTTATTCAGTATTTTTGTTATTCTCACTGTTCAGAGGGTGGTCCTCCATCTTCCTCAGTTCACACTTGCTTCAAAATGTATTTTACAGAACAGAGAATTTTCATTTACTTGTGGGATAGTCTATTGCACTCCATGGCATAGTATCTGAATAATTCTCAAACATTAATGAATTTATTTTCAGAACAACCCTTTGGTTCATTTAATTGTAAACCATTTTACAAGTGGGAAGCTGATGCACAGAGCTAATAAGGTTAAAAATATCTGTTCATCCTGGGTTCTTCTGAGATGCCTAACGCTGTTTCTCCTTACTATTCAGCATCATGCAACACTGTAGTTGTTCAAGTGTACTTCCTATTGACCTATTGTGGTTATGAAGTACTTCACTAAATCAGAGCATACCTCTGTGGGGTAATGAAAACACACTTCTTCTGGGTCAGCTGACATGAGTGTAATCCTGTTGCCATTGGCAGCAGCAAGGGTTGGGTTTAAATTCATGGGAATTACAACAAAAAATAAAAGCCATCAAAATGAACTGACAGGTAATTACACTAAGTTTTCTGGGGCTAAAACAAGAAACCTAATTCTCCAACTTGCAAAAGAGCAGTTTACCAGCCCATATTTTCATTAAAGATACAACAGCAAACCATGCCCATATATCCAAACAGAGAATTACTCATTTACAAAACTATAGCTTTAGACTCTTTTCCTCCAGGAGCAGTGGTGGGGCCAGCAGGATGCTTTGCCTCCAGCTCCTGCTTTGAAATGAGCTGTTCCTGCTGGCCCAGGCTGAGCTCAGGCTGGGCAGGTCAGGAGCACCCAGCCATGGCCAGTGCTGAGCCTCACCTCGCTGACAGCTCATGTTGCTCCAGCATTCCATCTCTGGGAACACTGCACAGGGTGTTCAACTAACACATCCTCCTGGAGACCCTCTCCACATGAGCACTCCAGGGCTGGGAGCTATTGCTGTAGAAGACAGCCACCATTTTCTCCCCTTCCCACACAGACAAGGAGCAGGCCCAGGCTTCTCTGCCCAGGCTCATGAATGGTCCTCCCCTTTCTAGGATCTGTTGTCCTTTGAGGATACAGGTCCCTGTTAGCAGAAATTACATTCAAACACCAAAAAAACTACCATGTGCAAAACCCAGCTGGAAACAGCTCACAGCAGAGCTGTCTCCCCTTTGCTCTTCCCTCCTGTCCTTCCTTGTCTCCAGGCTTCTCCAGCCAGAGAAATATGGGGGTTCCACTTTTACTATAGACCTCAGTTAATCTGATTTTTTAATAAAAGATTTCTCCATCTGAACAGACATAACATTCGGATCCAGTTCTCCAGGACAACTATCAACTGCCAGCCTTCTTTACTGATTGCATTTTCTGTCCTTGTCTCATGGACTCTTCCTTATATTTCCTGTTCTTCACCCCAGCCGCATCATTCCAGCTTTTTCCTGCCATTTTCTCCCAGTTCCCATATACAATTTACCAAATTACATTTCCTACCCTCTTCATGTTGAAATCAAGTGAGGTCTCAGGATCCAGAACAAGGTCACTGAGATAACTGACAGGTTAATTTTCACTCTAAGTTTTGGTGTTTTAGTGCCTAAGTGTGCCAGCAGCATCACTAGAGGAAAAGTCTGCTCTACTTTAGCAGCTCTGGGGAAGGAAGGAGGGAAGAAAGGAATATTGGTGCACTCTAGGGGTGCAACCCTCACACTCAGTGATGCAATCCAGAAGCAAGAGATTAAATCTCGCCAGAGAAAAACGAAATTCAAAAATCCGCAAAACTGACAAATTTAGCTGCTGAACTCTAACAACTCTCCCTGGAGCAAACAAGCAAAAACTGACTTAATTTTTAATAGCAGCTGATTAGTTAGCCAAACTTTCACACTTCCTTCCTGACAATAGTGAAAGCCGTGCCCTGATGTGCTTATCACTGCTGCCAAATGGCAAGTCCCTGCTCCTGCATGGGAGCTCCAGTGATTCTCAGTAACACAATAACTTAAAATAGTGAATACAGACAAAGCACTGTCTTTCCCTCATTTTATTCTCTTAAATAGCAGAAAAAATTCAACAGAATTCCAATATGAAATGGAATTCTTCAATCTAAATATTTCAACTAACATCTAAAAGGGGTCTAATGGGTCCTTGCTGTCTAGTTTGTGGCTAAGACAGTAAGAGTGCCAAATGTGTGTTTCTGGCAAATAGATGGATGGTCAGACAAAGATATATGTTTTACACCCTTATGAGCCATCTGGCCAGAAAAGAAACACTGAAACTTGAATTTGGTCTCCCACTACAAGTATTCACTTGTCATCAGTCCACTAAGGGGGATGATGCTGTGGGAGAACACCTGTCTACATCAATTTCTTGTTCCCTTCAATCCATAATTATATATCCCTGGGAAAAAAGGTTCTGAATTTCATACCACAGGCACCTCCAAGTAATTACTTCACTCTAAAATTACATTAAAAGTATTTTGTTGAGGTTTTTTGAATTTTTATGTTTTAAAGAAGGCAATATATTTTAATAATCATGTGTTGAAAAATTTTATTAAACCCTCCATAAATTTAAGAAAAATTTTTAAACGGTTTTTTTAATATTGAAAACCACCTTCTTTAACAAAAAAGCTCACTCTTAGTCATTCAACACCTGACATGTCAAAACATGAGAATGAGTGTGCAATGTTAAGGCTAAAAGGGGGCAGCTCTCACTGTGACAGATTAGTTTCAGCAACATCAAGAGCCACAACAGAAAATCTTCTTGCATATACTTGCATGAGTCTTATACTTAGCTTACCAACCTTACAGCTCAGGAATTGCTTCTTCTGCAGTCTGTACAAAACCAAATAGAATTAGGGGATCATGCCCTCATGAAGTATCTGGACTGTATAATAGCAATAATTATAGAGCAGTATTATTAACAATCAGCCTACATTTTTCACTGTGACAGATTCAGTGCACTATGGAATCCAACTTTTAATTGAAAAATACTCAAACTATAGCATTGCTGCTTGCAAAGATAAACTTTTCATTTGTACATGGATGCAGTCTTGTCTCAGTCTAACGCAGCAGCTTTGAGGAAGATTGCCCTCATCTGTCACAACTGTTTGCTATTTGCTAAACATAATGCCTCAAATCTCCCTGAGACTAGAAAGCAAACTTGAGAGAATCTCAGCCTAAGTTTTACTTAGCGTGGAATAACTGCTTCCTTCAAGCATGATTTAAAACAGCCCAGAAGGATTCTCTTTGGATCCCAGAAACTAATGTGCCAAAAATCAGTGTTGGAAAACTGGGTATGTACTCTGAAGCATGAGATTAAATTTAAAGTCATTTATATTTAAAAGACTGATGTGTCATATAGAAAGTTTATTTATATAGAAAATAGTCACTACAACACATTGTTCTATGCTGTGCTTGAAAAATCTCAAATTCAGATATCACACCATTTGATTTGCACAGACATTAGTATGTGATGTCCCCTCTATATACCCCAAGATACTGCTAGATTGGTGCTGCAACAAAAGCAATGAAAGCTAAGAGAGAAAAAATGGGGGAGCACCCGTTCTGATTATATTTCTCTTCCGGAGCAAACACTGTGTGTACTGAAGCCCTGCTTCCTGGGAAGTGTCTGGACATCACCTGCTGATAGAAAGTAGAGAATAAATCTTTTGTTTTCCTCTGCTTCTGCACATGGCCTTACTTTTGCTTTATTAAACTGCCTTTATGGGAGGTTTTTTCTGTCTTATTTTCTCCTTTCTTATTTTCCTCCACTCTGTCCTACTGAGGAGGGGAATGATAGAGTGGCTTGGAGGGCACTTGGCTTCTAGCCAAGGTCAACCCACCACACTCCTCCAGATGTCATCCTGGAGAAAGCAGCGCACATCTATCTCGCATATTTGTCTCTGGGACAGGTGGCAATAAATTTCTACTTCTCTGCTTTAATTTTGATAGTCAGACAGGAGACAGGCATTCATTTCACAGTGGATTCCTTTTTGTCAGCATTTCAGAATATTAGCTCTTTCACAGTCTTCCTAAAACTCAGCCTTAGTTCAAATTTCACGAACCCCAGCAGTTGGTTCACATAAAGGTCAGTTTCCTAAGTTTCATCATTCTCCTTTGTATTGATTCACTTTAGCCATACAGAGAAGATCCAAGCTTACTTCTGCTTCACCACAAAATGTTTTGGATGTTACACAGTGGGGAAATGTAACAAGTCTGAACTGATCAGTATGTGAAAACATGTTAAGGTAACTTATGTGGAAAAT